ATGTATAATATCCACAAAACTTAAAGAGGTTATACACACAATACGGTAATATTATGTTGAAGAAAAGTACGTATCACTCCGTGAGGCTCCTGCCTACGATGCCGTAATGCTCCGACAATCCATCAAGCGGTGCGGCTTCGTAGCTTAGCAAAGTTGTACTAAAACATTTGACAGATTTTCCAGCGCCGTGTACCACATAAAATTGTTTCGAGGTCAGTAAACACAACCAGAATTCATACATAAGGCACACGGGATTATAAGGGGCACTGTCGATTTTCAGAAAAATCAAAGGATTGATTTTAAGTGTGCCGTATTTTCCAAACAACACGGTAATAACGATGGGCCATTAGCATGCTCTACTAAAAATAGTGCTTTGTTGTGTATCTGACGGACGAAAGCTAAACCAGTTCCACACCACTTAAGTTGCAGCATTTTTTACAAACCAATTCTGGTTCATCCGTTTCATTCAACGATCCGCTTTCGCTCTTCTCATTCTGCGTCACCGCCATGTGCGTATGTAAACATAGGCACTGCGCATGCGCGTTTTACCCATATTCTATCGCGATATTTCATTTTCCTATCGTTGCCCAAAATTACACCGGTATTATCGTGAACGGTATGATATAGCCCAGCCCTAGTATTTAGTGCTGAAACTTGTAATATACATTCTGAGAACAGGGAATAACACATGTCCCTAAGTCTTAAGATATGGGACCTTAACTTTAAAAACAAGATGGGAGAAAAAGTCACTCTAATGAGTCTGACCTACTCAGTCGTCATTTATCAGTTTTAAAACTTTCTTACCAAGATCAGGAATCCTACCAATTTTTACATGTTATATTAAAAAGTAATTATTTTGTTATAACTTGGTAGCAATACAGTGAGAGTAGCTGAAAATAAACATGGATCTAAGGGTGGATGGTATAAACGGTATACGGTAGAAACAATATAAATTTGGCCAACGGTAGAGATTTTGACTATATCACTCTATCGCGATAACGCATGTTGATGTCGTCATCAAGCTGCGCCTGTTTTGGTTGAAAGCATTGCAGCAGCTGCAAACAACATCATCTGCAAATTATGCTGGGCGACAGTAATAGCAAAGAGTCAAAGCACTTTTGGAATATGGGGAAAGCCAAAAACTGCGCTTCCTCCACTTCCGTACCATTGATTCATTAATGCTGAATTCTCTCGCAGCTGCTCTATTCCCATGTTGTTGCAGTATATTAATGACTAACCTCGTAATGTGGATGGATTATCTCAGTTGTTCTCCTAACTGAAGTTTGGTCTGTTTATAGCATCCTACCATGCAATTGCATTTGTCCCTAACCACCAGAAACCCTCACGTTAACTTTTATCGAGTAGAAAAAAAGTTTGCGTTCATCCTTCAGCTTCACTGTGCTAATGTTATGCTAACGTAGCTGTTTTGCTAGCGTTCAAGTAGCACATCATTATATACGAGCTAGTCCCTAGTAACCCTACAAATGTCACTGCTGTTTAGTTTTCTGTCTTCATTTATGTTGAAAGTGACAGCAGAGCCGGACGTTTTAAGTTTTTCAGAAACCTCTCAGTCAGAACATGCTATATCATGTTTAGGTGGAAACTAGCGAGCTAACTTCCTGCTAACTTCTAACTCCGTTAAATTTCATAAATTCTGTTTTCATGGATGTCTGGATGTTAAACTTAATTGTTACACCTGGTAAAGCAGCAACACTGATCATTTTATTAAAGATGAAAAAATTTAGACTGTTGTTAACTCTCAGTGATGCCGCAGTGTTCGTTTGACTTTGGGACCTGAAGTTGACAGAGTTTTGGACCCAGATTACTCCGCAAGGCCCTCGACTACGGCAGCCGTAATGCTCCGACAATCCATCAAGCGGTGCGCCTTCATAGCTTACTAAAGTCGTACTAAAGATAGATTTCTGCGCACACTGTCGATTTTTGAGAAAATTAAAGGATTTTAAGTGTGCCTTATAGTGTGTAAAATACGTTCTACAGAAGAAAAGAAATATATCGCGATATATATCGTTGCCGCACATGCTTCAAATTATACCGTGATATGGATAGTAGGCCATATCGCCCAGCTCTAGATCAAACCAGTAAAACAGTTTATTTTGGTGATCTGCAGCGGAGATGAAAGTCAACTTCAAATTTTCAAACTGTTGGACATCTAAAGTGTTACCAGAGTGAGAGTTAGCCGAGTTAACTGAGAGAGTTAGCTATCATTGTGGGACTGAAAATCCAGAGTGTCTATAATCCCAAGATTAGTAAACTCAGTTTTTACTAACACCGGGATTATACTTTCTACATCCTTGAATTTCATTAGACGGCAAGTGTGAGTGTCCACATCAATGTTTTTTGTGACTGTGCAGACTGCTCCGAGAATTTACATTACAAATATACATTCACTCTAGACCGGGGGCTTCAAAAAAGCATAACAAGTATGACTACTCAGCTATCAGGTTTCCAGGAGGCTTTGTCCGCAAATAAGTATAATGGAGACCCAAATCTGCCTTTTGGACCATGCCCACTTTATTAAGAAGAGGAAAAAAAGGGGACAAACTGAACAGCAGTTTGGGAAAATGGCACAGCCCCACTCCTGAGACATGCTGAACTGACAAGTGTACCTCTGACCTGTTGTCCAGACGTTATTTTAATTCTGTGACTTTAAGACAGCTGTCCAGTCCTGCTGCAAATCTCTAATAGTGTGCATGAATATTCCGCTTTACAGGTGCTAGATGTGCATGAATCCACTGGATTATTGCAACACCTGTAACTAGCACTGAAATTCAAGCCTGAGCAAAACCTTGATGCGTCCCTCTTCATATTTTGGGACTTCAAATAATGTGATTATTAGAGCAGATGAGCACTGACACTAAAATTTTATAAAATATACTGTTTTTAATACATAAGCTCCACTGACCTACAGACCTGTACAGGTTCCTTGCAACAGTGGAGGAACCCTCACAGAACACCAACAGAGCTCAACACTTTCAGCATGAACAGTCATTTAGTCACCCACCTTGGCACAGTGCAGGTCCTTATGTTTCTTCAGCAGTTTATCTGCCTGCTGTATCGCCATTTTGTTATTGCCATTATCAAGGTAATCTGGGAAGCACAAGAACAACATCGCTTTTATTTAATATTTATTTGGGGGATTGACAAAGTAATTTAGAAACTATTTTGGTTTTGGATTAATTTTTTTTCCTGTTTTCTAAGCAAAAACATCAGAGTGGGCCCAGCTTATCAGGGTTCGTGTTGCAGAGCAGGATAGTATTTTCAAGTGTTTGGAACGCTGTTTAGACAAAATTTGAAATTTTACCATATTAATCTGAGTTACAGATGCTTTCACGTCTAACTGACCTGTAAAAATGATCGGCAGATAATGAAAATAACTGCCAGTAAATCTTTCACTATAATTAAATACAGCTTATCTTAGTGAATGGTTAAAGTATGCGGCTTCAGACATAGACAAGAGATACCTCAGTACAGCTGAGTGCCAAAATTAACCGTACCAGACAGCAGTGTGCTTATGTCATGTCTATTCTCTCGGTTTAAACTGTCATCACAGGAGGGAAAAGTTGCCAAATCCTACAGAAACCAGGGGAACCCTGAGGTGTACTTAAGACCCGGTATTGATCAAGTTTCAGCTCTAAGTTGCAGTGAAACTGCAATAACTGCATTACAGTTTAAGCTTCACTCCCAAAGTAACACCGGGGGGGCGCAAAAATCCCCCGCGCGCACACGCACACAGATATGTATACACACATAAAACAATGCGTATTTTCGGTTTGTAGACTTGAAATACTATTTATTTTCCATCAGTGCAAAACTAGCAGTAAAAGAAATTAAAACAGCTTCAACTGGTGCGAACTGTTTTAATTTCCCCTCACGGAACAACACCAAATAGTCCATTATTTACGTTATTCATCAGCACTGTTACTGAAAGGTCCGCGAGCTGACAGCTAGCTAGCAAGCAAGCAAGCATTACATCTCAACCGCTAGAGTTAGCTTGAAGCATTGTCCTTAAACTACTATGAACCTAAATTTAGCTGGGAGTTAACAGTGGAACCTTCAGTCTGCTACAAAACAACTAAAGCGTCACAGTGGCGTTAATCGCAAAGGAAATATATGTCAGACAGTGGAAGCCAACTTGCATCAACGAACAACTTTTCTTTTTCTCAACCTGCAGCATGTGCAGGAGCTTATTGATTGACTGCAGCTTAGCTGACACACTAGCAAGCTAAGCTACGCTACGCTGTTAAATAGCGCCCATTAGCTAGAGGAGAAAGCACTTCGACTTTGAGAAGTCAAGCCGAACGACAAATAATGTCCACACGTTTCATTGCAACAACACCACCGAGAATCTCTATAGATTTAAAAGGGACAGGCTGTTTCATTCAGAGACCCGACACTGGAGATGTGTTCTACCCCGGCTTGGTTGAAAACCGGGTAAGGTGCACTGTCATTGGGCGCTGCGGGCAGCAGAGTCCGTGGCTGCAGCTGGAGGGGCCGCATCGCTGCCCCACGACTCCAGCAGCCTCTAGTTTAAACATATTCTCCAGGACAGGGCACAGCTGTGTTTACCGAACCTCCACACACAAAGAAATGTGTAACTTTCCATTGAAAACTTACCGTATATAGGTCTGAGCCTCCTGTCGTTTGGATCTTGCACATGGCCTCTCGCCGCCATGGTGTAGTTTACCTGCTGAGTAGATGTTCACGCATGCGTATTCGAAGCGACCTCAGGAAAGACTAAAGGATTTTATTTCTCGCTGAAAACGCAAAAGTATTGTCAGGATGAAACCTGTCTCAAGTTTTGACTTTAAACCTATAATAATACAATATGAAAAACAGACAGCTTGCTAACGATTAAAAATTTATTTCATAGCCAAGGAAAGTAGTTTTAGAATAGTTCGTGTATTTGTGGCAGATTAAATGTTTCGCTATCCAGATAGATAAAAAAGAATTGTAAATATTGTTTAGCTGTGTTTATCACCTAATAAGTTAAAAAAAAAAAAAACCCAGTTAGGCTGCGACTCAAAACAAAGCTAATTCGGGGCCACAAATTGTAGTAAGACTGGCTATTTTACTAATAATTCAGATTTAGTCAGAGCCCGGCTTTTAAGATTTTAGATCATAATTACAAGTTAAAAACTGAAACGTATTCAATCAAAGCTCAAAGTTAACAGATACAAAGCACAAGAGCAAAGCCAGCATTTTTTTTACTATAGTTTTTGTAAGATTACAGGATGACCCTTGTCATTTTATATATTTAAAATTATTTAAAATATATAAAATATAAGCTGAATACTCAAGAACAGAGTAAAATAAAACCATATTCTTATTTCAGCCGCTAGGGGTCGCCCCAATAGATCATCTGTCTCTTTTTTTTTTTTTATTGAAAGAAATTTTCATATACAAAACAAGTCAAGGAAACAGACCAGTTTTTTTATTCATATTTGAAATAAGCTTAAGTGACTTAAAATATTGACAAAAGCAATTCAAGAAGACGGTGAATATAGGAGAGGCATTCTTCCACTTACATAAATGAATGAAAAACTTACATAGCACTATTACAAAATTGACAACATCTGAGATTTCAGAATCCAGATTGTCCATAAAGTAAAGAACATCCTTAGATGTGAAGGAAGGTATATTGGAAATTCTGAGTGAAACCCAACAGTGTATTTCAAACCAAAAAGCATTAACATACTGACAAGTGAAAAATAGATGCTCTAGTGTTTCTGGATCGGAAGAACAGAAAGCACAAGAGTCGGCCTCAAAATTAAACCTTTTATACAGGAGTTCTCCAACTGGATAAATGCCGGATATAATTCTGAAGTGTGTTTCTTTCATTTTAGGCGCAAGTGGATATTTTAGGTAAAAAGAAAATGACTTTTCTTTCAACATGCTATCGAGATCATGTCTGACATTGACATTGTAGTTGTAGAATACTATTTGCTTAAAGGTATTAGAGATTAATTTATTATTAAATTGTTTGTCCTTTATTGAGGTATTACCTATCGTCAGTGAAGGTAAGCACGTTCTTATTAGTGAATACTTTAAAGTATTTACGATAAGATTTAACAACGGTGTGGGTAGTACTTTACAAACCTTATTATAATTATTAAATGAAATGTCTATTTTATACTTATCAATAAATTCTTCATAAGATAGCAAGTTTCCGTTTTTATCAAGCAGATCAACAATAAAACATACACCGCTATCATACAAGTCTGATTTAAATAAGGACTTCTTATTGATGACTATAACCCTATTATTCCACAGCACAGAACTGTGAGGTGAAAAATTGTGGGTGAAAATTAGTTTCCCAAAATTCAAAGCTTGCTTATAGAAACTAGACAACTTAAGAGGAATCTTAGATATTTCATAATCACATCTGAGCAGAAAATCTAACCCCCCGACCTTATTAAAGAGTTTGTTTGGAATATGGTACCACATAGATTGAGGATAGGAAATGATCATCTGTCTCTCTACTACCCTTTCATCACCTTCTGTCATACCAAACTTCCGCATTTCCTCCTTCACTACATCATCTATGAATCTTCTCTGTTGTCTTCCTCTTTCCCTCCTGCTTGGCAGCTTCATCTTTTTTGTTTGTATATTTAGTTTGTTCTTGTTTTTCCTCCAAGCAGTCACATACTGTAACATTCGGGCATCAATTTAACACAATAACATAAATTCATCCCGAAAGGTTGATTCTGGTCATCCAGACGTAGCGTTTTCAGTGGGAGAAACGTTTCGTCACTCATCCTACTGACTTCCTCAGTCTCCGCTGACTGCAGTTTTCCCCAACCTTATAAACAGTACATTTGCACAATAACTGAACCTAGCCGCATGAAAGAACAGCGAACTGTCAGGTCAGTTCCTTGATCATTAATATGCAAATTTTCATGACCATTGATCAACAACCACTGATCAATGGCCATGAGTACCATTCACAGAGAGTTGGGGAATGGCTGCACTCATATCATTGTAAGATGGTGAAAGATGTACCCTTAGTCCCCTACTCGATTTGGAGATGGTCTTTCCCTTTTCACGTAAATGGCCTCCCTGAATCCCTGCTCAAACCAGCGTTCCTCCCTGTCCAGGATGTGTACATCCTCATCATTGAAAGTGTCCACTGGCCTGTAGGTGTAAATAGACTGCGGAGTCCTGGCCTGGCAAGTTAGCTCTTCTGTGTTGTGCCATCCGCTTTGCTAGAGGTTGTTTGGTTTGGTATGAATTATGGCAATCCTCCTGGCACTTAAGAGCGTACACTACATTACTATGTTTGTGTCGGAGGACCCGATCCTTAGGGTGGACCAATTTTTGGCACATCGTGTTTTGGGGATTAAAAGCCAAGGAGATGTGGTGTTTAGAAAAAATGTGTCTCAACTATTCCAATACTCCTGCCACATACAGGATCACTAAGGGTTTTCACTTAGGCAGCAGCTGTCATTCTCTCCTGGATAAGCTGGAGCTAGGTGTCTTCCTAGCTTTGACAAATGTCCATTTGGGATAACCACATTTACTCAGAGCCTTCTTGACGTGATGTTCCTCTGCTTCCCTGGCAGCAGTGTCTGTGGGGATGGTTTTCGCTGTATGTTATAGCATCATAGCATCCTGATGACACCCAGCTTTGTGTTCCAGTGGATGGATGAGAGTCAAACCTTAAATACTGATCCATATGCGTAGGTTTACGGTACACATCAGCTTTTAAATGTCCCCCATTACTGATGGAAATCTCACAGTCTAAGATAGGGGTGTCGAACTCCAGACACAGGTTTTAGATATCACCCTGTTTCAACACACCTGAATCAAATAATTAGTTCATTACAGGGCTTCTGGAGAACTTCAAGACATGTTGAGGTGATAATTTAGCCATTTAAATCAGCTGTGCTGGAACACGGACACATCTAAAACGTGCAGGACACCGGCCCTCGAGGCCTGGAGTTCGACACCTGTGGTCTAAGATGACTAACCTGCCACTTTTCATATCCTCCCTGGTGAATCTGATGTGTTGGTCCACTGAGTTAACCCTTTAGCGTTCCAGTCAACCATTTGGTAGAGCACATTTTCAGGCCCTATATATAACTGAGGCTTTCACTGAAATTGACCTACCTTGTTGAGTCTTTTCTACCAATTGGTTTACATCTGTAATGCCAAAAAAATCCACCAGAAGGCACTGTGAATGGACACTGTTGCCTCTCCTTATACCTCTCCCAACCAGGAAGTCAGAAACAAAAAAACATCCAAAATATTTTGAGTGTTTTTGATTAAACTAAGGTAGGAAGATATAATTTTTTGATATATGATAGTGTTAGAGGACATACTAAACAGATGTATGTCACTTGACTTGGTCAACCAAACGGCTGATTTGTCCCTTTATGGTGCTAATGCTAACATAACCCAAATGTTATTAAAATTGATTATTTGCCACAAAATCAGACCACTAGACCCATTTTGTTTGTCCATTGCGATTGATAAATCACATTAAGTGTTAACACAGCAAGAATATCATGAAATAATTTCCCCAGTAAGTCATTTTTGTAACTTTCTGAGTTAATATTAGTAAATATTGTAAAAATCAAGAATAACACGTGGAAATCACAAATATCACAACTGATTAAATTTTAACCAAATTATAGTAGCTGGTAAATTAATATTACTAAGCATATTGAACAAGTACTATATGGATGCTAAACAATTATATGGCTAAAAATCACATGGTCCTGTGGCATGATACTCATGATACCATCCACCTTCAACCACAGTGTGTTTGAGGTCATGGTTTCATATGAAGCCACAAGGGCTGGCACTCTCCACCAATATATTGCCAACGAACCAGATGAGTGGGGCTTTAAATTGTTCTGCCAAGCAAATTCATCTGGCATCATCCATGACTTGCTGCTGTATCAAGGGGGATCTACATTCTTCAATGCTCCCCTGAGTGAAAAGGAACAGAAGCTACCTCTAAGGGGCCAAAGTTGTAAAAAACACTATGCAAACCCATAAAAGAACCTCAGCTCTACACAAGTGTCTGCTTGGTCCAGAACTTGCACACCTCCTTGGGTGTCAGATGCATTGGTACTGTATGACCAAACTGCACTGGTGGAGCTCCCATGATGGCAGACAAAGACCTGATGAAGGAGGGCCATGGAGCCTGTTATTACAGGTCTGATGAAGGTCTGAGTGCAATGAAATGGTTTGACAAGAAATGTGTCAATCTACTAAACAATGCCTGTGGGTTCATGCTTCTTTCATCGGTCAAACGGTGGAGCAAAGAGTCCAATGCAAAGATCACCATTCCATACCCATCACTCATCCCTGTATATAATTAGCATATGGGAGGAATTAAACTTTCTGATATGCTATTACACCTGTATAAAGACAAGTTATAAGTTACAAGTTAAGGAGATGGCATATTCCACTTTTCGGGTACATCTTTGACTTGAATACCTGGTCTACAAGAGGGACTGTGCCCTACTGGACCAGAAACCGATGGCTCTCAAAAGGTTTCCACCTGGCTGTGTCTGAACCAAGTTAACAAGCCAGCATCTAGAGTTGGACAACCATGATCCAGCTCTCCAAGACCACAGAATAAATGTTACACCCTAAGACCCCAATGACCAAAACCACAAGCAGATGTGCTAGATTTGCACTTTTTTATTTTATTTTTTTTAAAAACCAAACTGATTTTGCACAGTAGCATTCAATCAGAAGTGGC